ATTATTATTATTATTATTACTACTACTACTACTACTACTAATTGGGGGAATTTTCATTGAGATTTTAGCATGCAGGAAGATCAGCTTTACCCTGTCCCTTCTTAGCTATAGTCCCAATGAAAATGTCCTGTACTTTGTGTTGTTCAGGGGACCCTAAAAAAAAATTACATCACTGGCGGTATCACAGGGCAAGAGAGGGGTGCCTTTGGGGACTGCACTGAGAAAAGTAGGGTTAAAAATCTCCTCCTGTCCATCTATAGACATTACCTTTTTTGAAAATATATCTCTATTTTAAATGAACAAATATTTTTTTTATTTAATAAAACGTCCTGCCTTGTGGTCCCAGTACAAATTTCCTTCACCTCGTATTGAATGCTTTACAAAGTGCTATCTGTGAATTTTGTGTAACATCTGGTTTAACTCTTAGCAGAGTATTTATATTGAACCCACTAACCTGCAGTGGTCCTTTCCCTTTTCATCTTTTGCAGTATTATCTTTTGGCAACTTGTATCAGGGAAATAACATTTAGAAATAACATTAATGAACCCAAGAGAACTGTAGACCTTAAAAACATGTCATAACTTGTGCATTACTCTAACTTTAGGAGCAGTCGCTTTGGAAAAGAACCAAATGTGTCTTCCCATCAGCTTTTGCACCGGTGGAGAAGAACAGTCTCAGATACAGAACCTTCTATAGATCTTCCCCTTGAAGATACAGACAGTAAGGACATACTACTTTATGGATGTTATCATTATTTTGTACTTATTTTTCTTACATCTTAGCCTGTGTTTTTGCTAGAATAACAGCGGATATCAAAATGAATTACTGTAACTCTCTTGCACTGCGCCCATCTTAAACTAAGATGGATTCAGACGTTACTTTTTAAACTGATATTAGAAAAAGTAGTAGGTTGTTAAAGAGAGAGTACAGACCCAATGCTGTCAGCAGTGAAAAAGTGTGCAAGAAACACAGAAGTGACAATCCGGAGATATTTTTTTCCTAACTTCTTTGTGGATGTTAAGCAATAGCAATTTTCTTACATGCCCATTATTTAGATGTATCTTGAACTAAAATTAAACATTCAACCCAGTGTGATTTCCTGTTCTATGAAGAAGATGATCAGGGTCAGGGGTCAGGGAGTGTGAGGTCTCAAGTCATTTTTGTAGCCTCTCAAGCTCTATCTGACCACAGTGCCTGAAAATCCATAGTAGTGTGTTTCCCATTTGGGGGCGGGATAATTTTAAAAAGCAAGGAAAGCCCACCCCAATACTTCCCCAAGAAAAAGCCAGAGGAAAAAAAGAGAAAATCCTGGTCTTACCCTGCCACCATTGCCCCATCTTCTCCCAAGATGTGCAGCCCTGGCTTACTAAGGTGGTCCATTCCTGTTGTCGGTATTCTGAGTTGTGCATAGGATTCCCACCTCTTTGGGTTGGATGCTAGTTGAACTTGTAATGGGATCTGATATCTGAGCAGGTCCCAGCACACTAGCTCTCTCCAGGAGTCTCCTGACTCTGAAATGTGATTTGTATGTAGGATTTAGATCTTAGGATGGTTTCTTGTTAAAGTATCAAATATCTGTCAATGGGAAGGTTGGCATGCTAAAGGGTACTGCTAGCCCAAGTAGAGAAGGCTGACTTAAATGGACAAGTGGTCTGACCTAAGGCAGCGTCCTAGGCGTCTGCACCACACAAAGCAAAGCCTACCAAGGAAGAGTAGAGTTAAGGCTTCCTTTGGAACATCTCTCCTGAATCTCACAGCTCTGTGATCAGATGGGATGGTTTCTACTACTTGTATGGAATAAGCAAAGAAGGGCAAATGATTGAGGAGTGTTTTTCTTGTTGTAGGACTAGCAGCATTCAGTTCTAGAGGAGCCCTCAATGGAGATTTGGCACCTCCGGCTGTTCCTGAAGCAAAGCTGTTGCTGTCTCAGAAACCGAGAGGGCCTGAAGAGACTCCTTCTGAGCCAATATCCTGAGGAAAGAGAAGGCTCCACTTCCTCTGAGTAATGCTATGCAAAAGCTGCTGTAATTCTGCTCTCGTCGTAGGGGAGTAGTAATTCCCTATGTGAAGGTTTTCTCTGCACTTTATAGAATAATGTAAAAACTATCTTTGAAGTGTATTTTATCTTTATATAGTTGACTTGCAAAAGTATTTTCCTAAAAAGAAAACTTCAGTTTGGGTATTTTTTAATAGTTAGGTGAATGTACCTTTGTAAATACTGCTCTTCTTTTTACTGGGTGTGGCGGTCAGGCAATTTGGCTTGGCCTTGAGAAACAGGTTTCAGATCTGGGGCAAGGAAAACCTGTGCCCTAGGCTGAGCCACTGATTTGATCCCAGAGTTGCATTTCTCTGAGTACAGTCTCTTCCCACCAACTTCAGTGGCAGCCCGCCGTATTGGGATGGCACCTTTATTTCAGGACAGATTTGTGGTGGTGGTTGTTAAAAGACAGATGATTCCTAAAAGGTATCTTATAAGTAATATCTCCCCTCTTTTTTCTTTTTTTTAAAAAAGGTCAGTCTAGGTTCTTAATGTATATCTAAAATCCCACTGAAATAGGTGGAATGTCAGTGAATTGGAGGGAATATTCCAGCCAAAATTAAACGCTCCAAAGTCCTGCCAGTACTATCAAGTGAAATGGATACACAGTGAAGTCAGTGAGATTTTATAGTGCTTAGTTTTAGCTAGACCTTACCTGGTTATTTAAATCCCAGCCTATGTTAATCACGGAAAGCACCTGCATTTTTTTTTTTTTACTTGCACCCAAAACTGTAGCCAATCAGAAATATGTCATAGATGTGCAGTATTTTTCTAAGCATGCAAATAAAATATGTGATTATGAGGCATTATACTATACACTGGGTAAAGATATTTTAACATTTTAAAAGGTTTTTTTTTTTTTTTTGGCACCATAAAATGCCTATTTGTCGTTACTGGGAAGAAGAGATAAGACGGGCTTAATTCTTGTTGAGGAGATTTGCCTCACTAAATGCCTTGTGGCACTTTTTTTTTTTTTTTTTTTTAAAGTTCATTGGGCAGAATCCAGCCAGTGTTGAGGACTTACAACCTCAAGTAAAGGCATCCTTAATTTCCTTGTGTTTCTATGACTGAGACTAAACAATGCTTCCTTTGCCTGGACTGAGCCCCCGCCCCGCTTTTCTTTTTTATTTCCAGGCAAAATAATCTTCCGTGTATCTTTTCACCAAAGTTCTTATTTTAGTGCTGCTTTATAAAGTCTACTCTTCGGCTGCTGTTGTAATGTATTTGTGTTTGCAGCAGTAGATGTATGTTATGATCCTTATACCAAAGGGAGGGTGGCTTTCACCGTTGTGGGCTCTAGTGTCAGAAAAGCAGAAAATTACAGCAAGATCTCTCCTCTGTTAACTCCCTGCCGCTTGCCTCTGCGGGTGCTGGGAGGCCAACCTCTAACTAGAGCACGTAGCAGCCATCGATGGGACATCGTGAGCCCGGTTGGTCCGAAAGTGCTGTGGTGGTGCCCTCTGTTTCTGCCAGAGCAAAGAGGAAAGATGGAGCTTGAAGTTCAGCAATTTTTGCACAGACATGTCTGAGGGGTTGTGTCCAAAGTTGTTAAGTGTTTTGAAATGTATATTTTTGTTTTTTATTCACTTTGGAATAGATTTGGTTAATAATGTATTGGCCATGGAGCACTTTTTTAAAAAAATAAAAATGGCTTTTTAAAAAAAAAGTTATGTAAGTGTTCAATAAATGCAGTTTTTACACAGGCATTCTGTCTTGTTTTGATCCAGTCTCTTTTTATAATTTCACAAATCTTGCCCAACTGTCATTAGGTTGCAAGCATGCAAGCAGCTTTTTGCAACTTGGTACTCTCCAAATGTGCTCGACCTGAGCTTGTACGGTCCTCCAGACAGCATGGCTAATGGACACCTCACCCAGGTGGATTGAGAGGGCAGTGTGGGTCTGACCTTGACTCCCATTTGCCAGCCCTCCAAAGCAGCTGTTTCCTCATGTTTAATGAGAGTGTCAGCTACATCAGGCAGCAGCTCTAAACTGCTCATATCCTCCAGGCTTCCCCAATCCAACAGAAAGTTCAGTACAGCTGGAGGCCAGGAAAGAGCGTTTTAATGAGAGTGCAAATACATCGAGAACAAATTGAATTTGTCTTGGCTGGATTAGGTTTTAGTGTTTTAGATAGCGGCATGAAACAGTCCCCAAACTTGAATTTCTTTGTGCAGTTTGAAGTAACCAGTTTGGTGTGTGACCAGCAACATGATTAGAATCTTGAGGTGTGGGGTCAGCCCTGGATGGACACAGTCATTCTGCATTCCTCAATTTCCCTGAGAAGATGAAGGCTGAAATCTCCTAGGACACAAAGCCAAGAGACTTTCTTAACAGCTCTGGTAGGGAGAGGCAGGCAATGCGATTGGCCGTACCATAACGGAATCCATCATCTGTCCTGAATTTCCAAAAGAAAGTATAAATCCTTAGGTGGGACTTATAAGAACCATCAAGTGTAAGCTACAGAACTTGAATTCAGCCGCTTTCCTCATCCTGATGCCTTAGAGATATATTGGACTACAACTCCTATCCCTAGCCAGGGCACTCAAGGGCTGTGCTGGGGGCAAGGGACTGACGGCAACAGCACCCCAATAGAACTCATTGTTGGGTTGGGCTACAGATCACTGCTGCTCCCATGATGAGTCCATCAGGGTTCTGGACTCAAAAAAACCCAATGAACATGCTTGAGAGACCAAATTGCCCTAGCTGCAAGGCTCATTGTTATAAGCCATTGGTTATTTTCATCCACAATGAAGTCATAAATGGATGATATATTGTGGACCAAGTGGACATTAAGCAACAGCACACAAAATACTAGCCTCACAACATCAGCAACTGGGATGGGGATGTGCCAGAACCGAGGCCCCTGAAGTAGGTTTAAATGCAAGGTCTCCAGTAAGCTTCAGGAGATTTTGAGCTAGAATTAGTTTTAAAATTACTCCATCCTGGTGTACTTACGCTAACACAAACATCCTGCCCCCCTTTTTCGAGCCAGAGAAAACCATGGAATCTTTTCCCTAAATGCTTGCTGTGTCCCAGAGGTGTACTGGGCAACAGAAATAGAGCACAAATTCAACGTGGAAAATCATACAGGCTTTTTTTCCTTTGTTCTGTTATTTAAGAAAAGCTAAGCCTGTTACAACCTTCATACCCCCCCCAACAACAAAAGGAAATCTGACCAAAATGCAAATATGCACACTCTGTAGCTGTAAGAAGCATCAAGGAGGCAGAAACACAAGAGTAATGCCCTGAACAGGATCACACCTTAGTGTCACAGAGCTGTGGCAATAGTTTATTGACAGACACCAGAATCCATTTGTGTCTTGGTGCCACCTTCCAAGTGCTTCCTTCTTCCTTTTGCAAAACAGCACGATCAACGCTTTGAAAGGCTTCTGTGCCCATTTGGGCACCTCAGTTCTTTGGACTGTGCCTGCTCGTGTGTGCTTATCCATGCACTGAGTCGGGCCATTGGAAAAAATAACTCACTGACCTTGTACTGAGATTCACTGATTTGTGGATCACCAACCTGGTGATGAACCCATCAGAAGAACTCTGCATGCCATAGTCTATTGTCTTCTATAGACAATATTATCTATTGTCTATGGCATTAAGATTTGAGAGTATTGATACAAGTTTGCTTTTTTAAATGTTATTTACTGCTGTATTACTGTCCCTCCACAATTCAAGAACTGAGTAATGCCAAGAATTTGCTGGGGGCTTTATAGCAATTGCACTCCTTTCCACTAGATGATGCCGTTCCTTCTCCGAACTATAGAATAATTATGGAGGGACAGAGCAAATATTGTATGAACACTTAGGGATACCTAGGCCTGTTTTGAAGGCCAGTGTTAACAATGGCAAGAACTTCTGCTCCTATCCTTCTGTTAGTGTAGATCCAAGATATGTTGCTTACTCTCATATCCTGCTGAGTTGCCCTTTACACTATTTTGTGGCACTTTGAACAAATATTCCTCTCCTTGCAAATCATTCCAACGGTGCCATGGAAGAAAATACACTTTTTTATTAGCCAATAAAGCCTCAGAAACCTCAAGAAAAAAAAATCACAATTGTTTTAAGAGAACTTTGGGTGGAATTAAGCTCTAATACACCATCCCACAACAGAAGGCAATTATTCTTTCCTAACATTGTCTGATGTTTTATATGGTATTTTGGTCTTGATCGTAAATAAAAACTTGAACTATGGACTTGCTGGCTCTTGCATGACTTCCTTGTGAGGAGGTATGAATCCAGAGCAGTGATCTAACTAGCCATAGGAAGAGTATTGTTTCAACTGGTGCTAGTCGACTGTACATTTTGAAACACGAAGAAGTGAGTAGTAAAAGAAAAGTATCAAATTTAACTTAAATTATAGGGAAGCAATATGTATTTAAGACAGTTGTAGGATAGAAATGGTGTTATATGGACTGGGGCTTACAGAACAGTGCTCCATCTTTCTTCTTCGGTTGCTGGCCAGTCAAGGAGCCCATGGATAGTCCAGAAATCCATGAACATGGGTTGCCACTGTGTTCTTCTGGGCTGCTTTTTGCTCTTTTCTTCTTTTTAGACTTTTTAATCCTGCCTACAGCCATATTTCTTGGTGGCCTCCCATCCATGTGCTAACCAGATCAGTCCCTCATAGTTTCTGTCAACATCACCTCAGGGCAGATAGGTGTTGCTGTCTGTTATGGCCAGTTGAAATTAAATTGAATTCAGTTTGCTCTGATTATAGCCACAGTGGGTTGCTCAGCATGCTAGTCAAAAATCAGCTGAGGCCTGCAACCAAAGAAAATGGTCTGGCTCTGCTTTAAAGGATGGCATCATTGTCAGGTGGGTAATAATTATGGCGGGATGCTAGTTGACAAGGTCTTAAGCCTTTGGCGTCAAAGCTGACATAAGATAAGCTTTGATGGCTTTTCTAAATACTTCCTGAATCAGTTCCCCCGCCCTACATCCCTCTTGCTTCTGCCTCATTTTATAATAATTGCTGAAATGCTTGAACAAATTGGCACCACAAAACTGCTCGACACCTACACATGCAAACATGTGCAAGTTTATAATTATATTTGCACCATGCTGCACTTGCTCCTGTTTGCACTACACTGGAGACTGGGGATCTTCTCCGTCAGTGAATGGAAGAGGGGAGATGATAAGGTAAAATGCCTGTGTATTGTGCTCACGCTTGTCTCCAAAAGGTGCAGCTGCGTTATTTTTGTTTTGGTTCTGCTGTTGTCCCAAACTTGCACTCTAAGACTGAGCATTTATTTAAAGTTCAGCTTGGGTGAATAGGAATGCTACCAAACTCTTTCAGGCCTTCTCTGTTACAGAGGTGCCATTCACTTTGGAGAAAGAGAAAGGTTTTGTTCAAAATGAGTTTGGTAATCCTGTTCTGAATGAAACAATTTTGGGTTTCAAACATCATCCCCAGATTTCTGTTGTAAATCACATGCAATATTTGCATTTTTGAACAAAAACAAACAGTACTTGTGAAAAACCAGCTCTCCTGCTGCTTCCTTTCCACCACAGCTTTGTGCTTTAAATTTGCTATTAACTCTCCTTCTTTTGTAGTAGAACGATTTCTCCTTTTATGATATGTAGATTGCCTGGTGAAAAAGCAAGGCAGAATTCCTACATATTGAATAATGGAGTGACGGAGGAAATTCCCTTTTTTCACTTGATCACTTTTGTTTCTATGTCATTGCATTTTATTTTTTTCTTGTTATAAATTAGGGACGCTAAATGTGTTCCAGGAATGAAGAGTGTAGGCCTCAAACTGTTCATTTTTGTGTAGGTATAAGGCTAAAGACCTAAAGAGGAGACACTGTGTGTCTGACAAATCATTTCCATTCCCATTCTAAAAACCCCATCAAACCTGGAAAACAGTCCAAAATCATACAGCCAAATTTTACAATGTCAAGGAACCGAGGGACCATTTGCAGTTTGTGGATTGTGAATAGAAGCTGAAAGCAGGGATGCAAGTGAAGAGTTTAAAAAAGAAGAAGAAGGAAAACTAGGACACTGAGGTGGTGATGTGCAGGTGGCATGCTTTATTTAAAATGAAGAACACTATCTCAAGGAGGTTCAGTAAAACAGCTAACAGCTTACTAATAGTTTACTACCTATGAAACTAAAACTAAATTTACGTTCAGGGCAAAGTGTGATGTTATAGCAACAGTTTAAATTTTCCTTAAACTGTGGTTCAAACCTTAGTTGCCTGGAGTTGACATTATCATCTACCAAAATGCTAACACTATTACACAGCACTGCATCCAAGGAACCTCCAAGAGCTGGCACTGCTTCTGCACGTGAGTCCCCAAACAGCTTCGTTCAACAACGGGATAGCCAGGTGATGTTACTTTATCGTAAAGCTGTTCAGGCAGTCATTGTCCAGAAACAATGCATAAAGAGGCGATGAACAAAATGCTGGCCGCTGACATTTTGTTCGATCTATGGTAAATCAGTCATGAGCAAATGAAAGTTTGACTTTGATCAGATACAACATAAGCTATTACAGTGGGGCTTACAGGAGGGTAAATGCAAACCTCACCAATGGCTTATGTTTCTGATAGCAAATAAATTCATGCACGCATGAAACGTGCACAGCATAATCTCTTAGGTGTCAGGAAAGGAGTCTTCAACAGGGAGCCTCTCTACCTGTTGAGGCAATCTTAGACATCAACGTTTTGTTGAGGCACCAATATTAGTTCAATGTTGAGCAGGGTATTCGTTCCATCAGAAACTTTCTCCTACCAACGGTTCCAAAAGTTACATTTTCAAATGTCATAAAATAAATGGTACAAAACTCCATAACCGTTATCATCGGCTATATACAGTATGTACATGTCAAATGAAAAAAAAGTTTTAAAGTCAAATAATGATGACTTTAAGTCATAGTGTAATTTCTAGGACCTTGTCTTGTTCAGGAAGGTATAAAAATACTATTTTAAAAACTATATATTTACAAATCAGTTATTTCAGTCCATACGAGTCACTTGCCAGAAGTCAAGTGCAAAGAAAATAATCATGCTTTCTACATTGATCGGATGTTAATGTTCACAGTGGCAGAGTCAATGCCAAAGTCATTTTCTAAATTCAGAGTATAAAGGCCCTCGTCATTCTTCTGAACATCCATTATGATAAAAGTGGTTAAATCTTCACAGGTTTCAATGTGGAATCTGCCACCCTGACTAGAAATATTTTGCCCTCTGCGGGACCAAGTTATTTCGGGAGTAGGTTCACCAGAGAAGGCACAGGAGATGGTCAGAACCTTTCCTTCCTCTATGGAGATATCACTTGGAAGAGCTTCAATTTTGGGAGGTGTTCCTTTGCAAAACAAGAAAAAGGTTGAAAATTAATTCTCAGTAGAGGCGATGACTTCACTAAGACAGGAGTTATGCTAAAGGATGTTGTGGGGATTTCTCTAACTCTACGTATAATCGTATTGCTCACCTCTCATATCAGACTTAAGCATGCTACTAGTTGAACTCTCCATTTGGGTCAGACTAGATTTCCCCATTATACTGCTGGAGCTCATCTCTACAAAGGACTCTTTCATGGAAGACATGCTTTTGGCAGACATGCTTGCAAATTTCATTTCAGTCATACTGCTACTGCTGAACGAAGCTTCTTGTTTAGAAGCGGACATTTGAAATGACTGCGAAGAGAAACCTTCCTGCATGCTTGCTTCACCACTTGTCCTCAACACTACCTCTTTTGGAGATTCTTCAATTAGAGCTGTGGAGCATAGCAAACATACATGGAAAAGAAACCAATGACAACACATTAGCCGATGAAGACGTGTGTTCTCTACGTATTGACTTTATGAAAAGAGAAACAGGAGTGGCTTGCAATTTGAGGAAAACCGAACCTGGCTTTGAAGTAAGGTTCTGATAATGGATAATAATGCAAGAATGCTCTATTTTTCCCTCTACCTTAAATAAGCGCATCATTGCCATGATCCGTGAAATCTAAATGACTTAAAATTAAATTAATTAAATTAATTAAATTGCAATGACTAAAAAAGTGTGAAAAAAATGAGAATGCTTTGTTTCCCTATTTATATTCATTGAAAGCACCATTTAAAAAACACCACAGCTTTCCTTAAAATACAAGCCTGTATACACATAGGTAGCAAACACAAAGTAACCCAGTGATTGCTGGGATACATACAGCCTTATGTTTTATCTTAGAACTTCAATACTTTTTAAAATCCAGAAGGCTGTGCACCTTTTGGAATTAATTATTCTTGAGAGTTTTTTAATCAGTCATCACCAGAACCAAGGGGTTAATAGCCAAGATATGTTACAATACTTGAAAGCTTTATGACAACACTGAACTGGCATAAACATTTTCTAAAATATTTATTATATGTTTATTTCAACATATTAACATCCTCATTTATATTGTACTTTAGATTCAGTACGTAAAGTGATACTTTATTAAACAATTCACAATTCTGCTTTTATTACATCATCTCAGCCCTAGTGAAATTAAAGGAAAACTTAAAAATAAACTTACGAAGGACAGTCAAGGATGCTGTTGCAGAGCATTGCCCATGGAAATTTTTTGCTTTGACTGTGTATTTTCCACTATCGCTCACTGCAGCGTTTTGAATCGCAAGAGAATAAACATTCTTGGAACGATTTACTTGGATGTTGGATGAGAGAGCAATCTGATAACAAGAAGAGATGCTTTATTAAGGTCATGTTTAATCCAAGTACGCAAATAAAATTTTTATGGCTAACAAATAATTACTTACGGGTTGATTGTCTTTAAACCAGTGGATCTCAGGAGAAGGATCTCCAGAGACTTCACAGGTAAGCAGCACACCTTGTCCTTCATTAACATTTTGAGATCTTGGTTGCATGACGAAGGCTGGGGCATTTGAAAGATCTTTGGAAACATTCATTTCAAAGTGACATTTGATGATACCATCTTCTGTTTTCCCTTCACATGTAAGTATTCCTTCATCTTTCTGGGTAGCCTTGTTAATGGTCAAAGTATGATCACTTCCAGATACACCGTATCTATAATCTTCCGAGTTAGTTAGTGCTACTCCATTTAGCAGCCATTTTACCTCAGAAGCACTGGGAATATTGGCTTTGAGAATAGTTCTTTGACCTTCAGCCACTGACATTTTGGTGGTAGTAGCTTTAATTTCTGGATAAGTTATTTTAATATCTTCAGGTACTAGAGACTTCTTAACAATTTCTTCTTGGACTATTGCCTTTTCTTGAGAAGTCACTGTAGCTTTCTTTTCAGTAGATAATTCAAGTACTTCTGCTTCTTTCTGAACCAGCTTTTGCGTTTTGGCTAAGCTTGATACCTGAGAAATCATATTTTTGAATGCTTGTCCAGTGAACACCAAGCTAGTTTTGGAAGAGCCACCTTCCCCAATAATTTCACATGTATATTCACCCTGGTCAGATTCCTGAAGGTTATGGATGTTAAGTTCGTAAGTTCCATCAGCTGCATAATGAAATTTGAAACGATCATCTTCTTTTAATTTCTTGCCATCTTTATACCAGGATACTTCTCGAACACTTAACACACTGCTTTCAACTGAACAGAACAGTTTTACTTTATCACCAGAAACATCAGCTTTCAGTTGTTGTTTTATCTTGGGGGGGGCAGCAACTGGCAAGTCTACTTTCTCAGCTGGTGTCGTTTTCTCTGCAGCAGTTGATTTTGCTTTGGAGGGGGCAGGAGATGGTTCAGGGGACTTTACTCGCTTTGGAGACTTTACTCTGTCTGGGGATTTCACACGAGGTTCAGGAGACTTGACCCTTGGAGGTGATGTAACTGCTTTTTCTGGAACCTTTTTTCTTTGAACAGTTAAACTAAAGTGTGCTTCCTGCCTTCCTTCAGAATTTTCTACCACAACAGTATAGCTGCCTTCATCTGAACTCTGGACAGATGAAATCTCAAATATAGACTTATACTGAGTGCGTGTTACTTGATAACGCCCAGAAGAAACAAGTGCTTGCGCACCACGCATCCATGTCACTGTTGGTGTTGGCTCGCCATCAGTGTCGCAAGAAAATCTTGCAGTCTCTCCTTCAGAAACAGTGATTGACCGGGGCTTTGTTAATATTGTAGCAGGCAGAGTGGTTTTAAATTTCCGGTGCGCAGCTTTTTCTTCTAGTGATTTTTCCTCTGATGCACTGATTTTCTTTTCAGCAGAAGCATGACGTTCATATGATGATAATGACTCCCTTGTTGCTGTCAGTTCTGACTTGACTTCTCTTACTGAGGAGCTTGCTTCTGTCGCAGAAATTTTCTTAAATGAAGAGATTGCATACGTATCAGTCCTTGTCAGATCAGGAATAACAGTTCTAGGAACTTCCTCATCTCCGCGCTGGGAACTATATGTAGTATAGTCTCCGCCTGCAACATCTAATGTTGCATAGTCAGAACATTCTCCTTTATAGTTTGTGCACACAACACGGTATGTGCCACTGTCATCAATATGGCAATCAAAGATCTCCAAGGTCAATACACCACTAGTGTTCGTGAAATGAATCTTGGGGCTCTCTTGGATTTCAACACCATTGTGATACCATTTCACCTCAGCAGTTGGCTTGGACTGAACATTCAGAATAAATCTGGTGTTGGCGCCACACGGTACACGATGTGAGCGCATTCGCAGAGTGATGCGTGGAGTATGATCTAGAGTGAAAGGTTCTTGAGTCAGAACTTCATATTTCCTTTCCATTGTTTTTTGAGTTTTCAAAGCAGCTTTCATGGACTCATACCTGGAAAATATATCAAATCTTGCCGTCCTTTCAAATCTAGAGAGAGATCTCTCACTGGATACTGGACTTGGTGAACGTGGGCGAGTTCTTTCTGGCGTGGGAGATCTTCTCTCAGGTTCTTCCACAGGATGTGAACGGGGCCGAATTAATTCCGACACAGGCCGCATCAGTTCAATATAAGTTGGAGAAAGAGAGCGTCTTCTTCTGAGTAACCTCGAAGGAGGTGAATATTCCCTTTCAACGTGTCTCACCACTTCTATTTCCTCTTCTTCCTCTCTTGATGTGATCTCAGTTATTTCTTTTTCTCTCCTTCTCCTCAGCCATCTCTTTTCTTCTTGTGACATATATTCCAGTTCACTCTTGTATTCAGAGAGCCGCTGCCTGGTAGTAACTGGTCGTAGGAGTTCTTCATCTTCTTTCTCAGCCATTATTCTCTCCCTTTGTTTAGGTGGCCTATACACTGCTCTGTCATGACGTTGTCGAAGCTGTGCATAAGTTGCAGCTGTGTCTTCTTTAGTTGGTATATGATAAGTTGCATATCTCAACTCCCTTTCCCTAGATATTTCTGCAGCTCTTCGTGCATCTGCTGCAGAGTAATGCAGGGAGGACAGCTCAAAGCGTGGAGGGCTTCTGCTTGGAGGTGAAGCAGAAAACCCTAACTCCAGTTCTTCTTCAAGTTGCAGTCTTTCTTCTTCAGTTCTCTTCATGGCTAAATAATCATCAACAGGCAGAAGTAGTTCTTCATCAGACAGGTCACTAAGTGATCTCCTTCTTGGCCTGTAATAAAACTCATAATCAGGAGATGGTGTACGGCGACGTGCTGGTCTCACTATTTCAAGGTCGTCTTGTGACAATTTAGGTATGCGCCACTTAGGTTTATATTGATCAGAAATGCGTGGCAGTGGCATTACATAGAATTGTTCCCATCTGGAAAGACGAATGCGCTTGGGACGCTTCTGAACAATCCTGTCAAGTTTTCCTGGCATTTCATACTGGTCTCTCAGTTTCTTGTACCATTTCATGTCTGACATGGGCACAAATAATTTGATGTTCTGATCTTCTTCAAGAGCAGCGGCCGCATGCCTGCGGGGCTCTGGGATCACATAAGGCATTCGGAGTCTCTTTTCCTCTTTAATTTCCTCCTCCCTCAATTCAAATTCACCTTTGACGGTTTTTGTGCTTACAGCTGGTTTATACAGAATGGCAGCCTCTCTCAGAGCCTCCTGTGCTGCTTGTGTCAGCGGAACAGATTCTGTCCTCGAAAGAATTTCTGCCATTCTCACAGTCTTGTCAATTCTTCTCTGTACAATTTTTCGCTTCTCCTCTTCAGACGTATATTCACGCTTGACGTATTTCAAGCGCTCTACTTTCAAGTAAGCCTGGCAGCTTGTAGAACCAGCACTGTTTGTAGCAGTAACTCTGTAATAGCCACTGTCTTCCGGCAAAGTATCTCTTATATGCAAAGCGTAATAATCTAATCCTTCATGTACAATTTCAATATTGGGACTAGCCGAGAGAGGCTGACCATCTTTTTCCCACTTCAGTGTTGGTTTTGGTATACCAGACACTCTTACCTCAAAGCAGACCCGTTGGCCTTCTTGACATTCTGCGTTTGCCAACAGCCTTTTGAACATAGGTCTCAGAGTGGTATCCTCTGCAGGAGCATGCTGAACCACGGTTAGTTTAGCTTTGCAGCTATCCTCACCATATTTGTTACGTGCCAGCACAGTATATTCGGCATCATCCTCCTCATTAACATTATGGATTAGAAGTTGATAAAGGCCTTTATCTGTTTCAAAGGTGTACTTCCTATCATCGTCTCCTGGCTTGATTTTCTGGCCTGATTTGAACCAGGTTACACGAGGTTCTGGGTGAACTGTTATAGTTACTCCAAACCGGACATTTTCACCAACATAGGCAGTTCGGTTATACAGGGGCAAAGTAAATTCTGGTGGCTTCTCCAAAAGTCGCAAGGTATCCACTCGGCGCTTCACTCTCTTGACAGTTCTATATCTGTAATAGTCAGAAACTTCTCTGACACCTTTAACAAATAATTCTGCATAGGAACTGTCTTCCCCGTAGTCGTTTACAACTTTGCATCTATAGGTACCATCATCTGTTTTAACAATATCTTTGACATACATTGTAGCCACACCTTCATGATAGCTGATTTCATATTTTTCACTGTTTTCTAGTTGTCTTACTCCAAAATACCAGTTCACTTGTGTGGCTGAGTCATAGTTTTCAATTTTGCAGACATATTTGATATGTCCACCTTCTTCCCCAACAGCATGCATTATTTGCCCAGAAATGGGTCCAATTTCAATTGATGCCACTTTAACTTTAGCAACTGTAACTCCCTTCTGAGATCTGACAGCACCGCCCCATGAAACGCGGGCAGCTGATACAACTATACTCCATTCCTTCTTCACCAGCGTTTGGTAGTAACGTCTGTGTCTTAGTGTTTTGATTACTTTAGTGCTGGTTTTCTCTGTTCTCTGCTTCAACCATGGATGGTTAAGAGCTTCGGTAGCAGTCATACGAGATTTTCTTTCTTTTACTAGTAGGCGGTCAATGAAGTCCAAGGCCTCAATACTTATATCTTTGAAGGCTTCATCATCAAAGTTGTATTCAGCACTGATGATGTTTTCAACCATCTGTTGGTTTGTTTCAGCAAGGAAAGGATTCAGGCCACTTAGAAGTACATACACTAGAGTTCCAAGAGACCACATATCTGTGGCTGTGCTAACCAAATCATGCTGATGGACTTCAGGGCCATAATATTCAGGAGAGGTAAATTGAAGCCTGAAATTATCACCAGGTTTCAGTTGTCTTGCCTGACCAAATTCAATAAGTTTAACTATAGAACTTTTTCTTGTGAAATAAATAATGTTCTCAGGCCTGATATCAAAGTTTCCAATGCTGTGACTGTGTAGAAATTCCAGAGCTTCACATACTTGGCGTACATAGCTTACAATTTCTCTTTCATTAAGTTCAAAACCAGGAGTATTCAATCTTTCAAAGATGTCAAGTCCAGATATGAATTCAGAGATCATGATCAACTCTTCTAGGCTTTCGAATGATTCATGAAGATGTAAAATATTTCTGTGCCTAGCAATGTTTAAGATAGAAATTTCTTTCTTTACTAGCACTTGATCAGCACCTTTAACTTTGACAAACTTAGCCAGGTAAGTCTTCTTGGAAGCAATCTCAACGCACCGGTGGACAATTCCAAATTGCCCACGGCTGAGTTCTTCAGCAATCATATATCTATCATACAGTTCCTTTGTAGAAGAATGAGCTGCCTTTGCTGTGGTGACTTCTCTGGCCTCATCAACTTCTTCATCATAATTAAATACTCTTGTCTTATCTTCTTTGGTTATAACAGCGTCTGTTGGTTCAGATGGCTGACTCTGCCCAAACTTATTTTCTGCTATAACATGGAAGACATAGCTTGTCTTACCAAACAGGTTTACCACGGTGTATCGTGTATCACGAGCTTGGCCAACACGAATCCATCTTTCAGCTGTGGTAGCACGTTTCTCAATAGTATAGTGGGTGACTCTACTTCCACCATCACTGGCTGGAGCATTCCATGTTAAGTTGACAGAATCCCTTGAAACCTCACTTGCTTTCAATCCTCTTGGTGCATCAGGTACATCAGCCACATCTAATTCAACAGTTTTCTGATCAATGCCAAATCTGTTCTTAGCACAGACAATGTAGAAGCCTGCATCTTTTCTGTCCACACCATTAGGGAAAACAAGAGATGTGAAGGACCGTGTAACAATAACTTGGTAATGTCCATTAGTATCAATGAGATCTTGCCCTTTCTGCCATGTGATCACTGGATCAGGCTTGCCGCTGAATGGAATTTTGATGCTAATAACTTCACCACGGAGTGCATGAACAGCTCCCATGCCTTCAAGATTTTTAGGTAAGTGGATCTTAGCAGGAACTATTTAAAAAAAGAGAGAAATTAAATTAGCAAACTGATTATGTAAAGGAATTTGAATTTTTGTTTTAACAGAGGAAAACTGATTCACAGTGGCTGGACCATGTTTGCAGCATAAGGGCTAATACTGGAAATTAACTTTTTGCCATAAATTCTTTCCATGGCCAAATGAGCAAACACTGGTGTTCATATTACAATCTTTGGAGATCATCAACACAAACTAGTGCAACTTTCTGCAACAATGCCAGAGCTTCTTACTAGGTAAATACATCAAAGAGATTTATCTAATAGCATGATAAAATGTTCAACAACATCTTTCACAAAAACCATGCTAAAATTATAAATGCCAAGGCTTTTTTATTTTGGAATAACTGAATTTTTCCATGATAGAAGCTGTTGTGGGATATTTGTTCCCTGAAAAGAATGATACAACATGTATTAATTGTTTTACATTTTGTTCTTAATATATGTTCCATACATTGTTTTTTTTAAATGATGTATTTTCATAAGGTTGCATTTTTCAAAGTACAGAATATTATTCTGTAAGGCCTATTTAGATGAGCCTCCATGCAGTGTATCATGTCTAAAGGCTTGGCACTGAAGATATTAGGCAAAGACCTTAAATATAGGGCATAAATGGAAGTTTGGATTTTTCCCCATTAGCCAATATGCCTACTTTTAAAAATTAAACAAAAATTCATTTTAATTAAAAAAAACCCACATAATTTACCTTCAACATCCAAGGAGGCAGTTCCGGAAACAGATCCTCCCTGGTTGGTTGCTCTCACTTGATACACAGTAGCATCGTCATCTGTTACATTTGTAATCACCAGTTGATGATAGCCTCCCTTAAATTCTTGTATCTTCACCTTTTCACCATCTGGCATAATCTCCTTGCCCTGTCTGAACCATTTTACGACAGGCTTAGGGTGACCAGTGACCTTGCAAACAAATGTGGCATGACCTCTAAATTTCACGTTCAGATTTCTGATCTCTTCTTTGAAATGTGGTGCCTGAATTGGTATATCAGACCTGGGAGTGATTGGTTGTGAAATTTCACTCCATTCACTCTCACCACCTAGATTTACACATTTTACACGGAACTCATATTCCAGGCCTTCAATAAGGCCTGTGACAGAATAGACAGTTTCATGGATTTCTTCTGTTGTTATAGCAATCCATTTGTTCTGCTTCTTTTCCCGCTTCTCAAGGTAGTAACTTCTAATCTTTGAGCCTCCATCGCTTGTAGGTGGCCTCCAAGAGACAACACAGGAATCCTTTGTAACAGCAGATACAGTTGGCTGAGGTGGCTGTCCTGGTTTTTCTGTAAAGGAAGACATTTCCAGGACATGAAGTTGATTTGCTTAGTAGTTGGCTATACATTCCACAATGGAGTATGACATTCACTTACCAAAAGGTGTCTTGATTATAACAACGGAGGAAACCTCTAATGCTTCGCTGATGCCAAATACATTCTGCGCAAAGACCCGGAAATAATATCCTGCATTTTCAGTCAGGTTAACAATTCTACAGGTGGTGCTAGCTATACTTGATGACACCAGTTGCCACTCGGCACCTTCTTTTGCTTCTCTCTTCTCGACAATGTAATTTGTAACTAAGGCACCGCCATCATCTTCAGGTGGCTTCCAGCTGATCACTACAGAGTTCTTCAGCATAGCTTCCACCACAATCGGTCCTACCGGTTTATCTGGCTTATCTACAGAAAAGGAGGCAGTGCATGAAGTTGTACTTGAAAAACATGGTTGATTATATCACTTCAGGGGAAAAAAGGGAAAGGTAACACTTACCTTGTATTTCCACATTGAGTACAGTGTCAACACTTCCAAAAATGTTACTGAGTTGTACTTTGTACTTTCCAGCGTGTGTCTTGTGTTGTACATTTTTAATGACAAGGTGGGTGTAATGCTCTGTGTTCTCAATTGTAATAGTTTCGGTATTCTTTAATAGTTTCTTCTCATGGAACCAAGTAATAGCAGGCACTGGACGACCAATGTATAAAACGTGGAGGCGGAGAGTGGAACCCACACCTGCACGATACTTCTCTTTCAAGGGGAAGCCAGGGTGGAATTGTGGAGGAGCATGCAGTAAGAGCTTGCCACTCGTTTCAATTTCTCCAACATCATTGATAGCCTTACAGGTATAAAGTCCTTCATCTTCCTGCTCTTCTGTCAGCACAGTCAGCGTATGGGTGCGCCCATCTGACGACATCTTGTATTTTCGGCTCTGTACTAGTTCTTTGCCAAAACGATACCATTTAATATCAGGAAGAGGTCTCCCAATAATCTGGCATGATAACTGACCTGGCTCCCCTAGGTTTGTAGTGACATCTTTTATTTCTTGTCTTATTCCTGGTGCTTCTCCAGCTGCATTTATAAAAGAGGAAAGAAAAAAAGAAAATCCTGAATGTTCCCTATTTTTTTTACAACTTTTATTTCAGTGTGTCCCATCTTTCCAACTAAAATATTGTAGAATTAAATATAATTTTTATTCTTCCAAATATTAAAGTCATATTTAGTTCATTAGCACTGTATGTGAAGAATTTATTTATCATATTGTGATCCATTCAGCAGAATAAATATATTAAATTTCCCAATCTTTATCTTAACTGTCAAGTTGCTTCTAAACCATATAATCAAATCAACCAACAGTATGGATCCATAGCATCCTCCTCTTTACTTTAGGATCCTATAATACCTTTGTTAATTATGGCATAAAGCATAATGAATAAGTCATACATGTCAGTTTTGTCTTCACAGTCATTGCTGTTCTACGTGGCCTGCTGATTCCGGTTTCATTTTCTGCAAAAACTCTGAATTCGTATTCAGTAGCTTCCAGCAAGCCTCCCACTGTAAACTGTCTGTCTTTGATGCGTTCTTTATTGCACTTTTTCCATGCAGTCTCTCCATATTGGCGATATTCAACCCAGTATCCAATGATGTCTTTACCACCATCACATTCAGGGCGCTCCCATTCTAAAGTAATGCTATCCTTAAATATAGACAGGATCTCAATTTCTCCAGGCTGGCTTGGTTTATCTGTAAAATGAAAAAAAAAAAAATTCATAAGAAATGAAGATTTGTCTCCTCCCAAATTTTTACCCTAATGCCCTCTGATATTGACATTATATTTACATACCAAATGGATCTTTGCATATAACTGGTTCAGAAACAGGGCTTGGTTCACCTTCACCAATATCATTTTGAGCAATAATACGGAACTGATATTCAGCATCTGGAATCAGTCCTGTGACTGTATACATTGTAGTTGTGATGTGGGTCTTGTTGTGCCTGACCCATTTTTCAGTAGATGTTTCTCTACGTTCAATATAGTAGCCAGTGACACGAGAGCCACCATCATCTCTAGGTCTGGACCAAGATAAGCTAACAGAACTTTTTGTGACATCAAGTATTTCTGGTGGATAACTTGGAGGTTCTGGAGGATCTGTTAAGAAGAACGTAACTGTTACTATAGATCATTCTTCAGGAAAACTGAGTTTAAATCTCTATTCAGTTGTGATACAGGGAGTGCCCAGGTTAAAAATGCCTGGTTTAAGGATGACCCATAGTTAAGAACGGAGCCTACTGTAGCAAAATTTGAGTTAAGTACACAATGATTCGAGTTAAATACACAATGGTTCGAGTTCATTACACAATACTCCTTATACAGTATTACACAATAATACTATTCTGGCTTACATACAAATTTGACTTAAGGACAGATCTTGGGAACAGAACTTGTTCTTAACCTGGAGACTATCTGTATTTAATAAATGACCGTAGGCCAGTCATTTTCTCACATCCTTACTATCTCACGAATTTCTTTTGAGGGTATACCAAAAGACATACTTAGTTTCTGGAAAGAAGGACAAGGAATATAGAGTTTTTTTTTCCTGTAATGACACAACAACAACAACAACAACAACAACAACAACAACCACCAGAATTGAAATGTGTACTTACTCAAAGGTGTCTTTGGCACAACTGGCTGTTCAGATTTCAGGGATCTGCTCACACCAAAGTGGTTTTCAGCATAAACACGGAAGTGATATTCCACATTTTCTTTGAGTCCTTTCACCACTAATGATGTACCTTTTACTCTGGAATCAACTGTGTACCAGGCGGTCTTTGGTACTTCACGCCTTTCAACAATATATCCCAATATATCAGCACCACCATCATCAGTTGGAGGCTTCCAGCTGACTCTAACGGAGCGTCCTTGTATGTCGTCATATTCAAGTGGTCCTTCTGGTGGATTTGGAATGCCAATTACTCTGACTTTGATGTAGACTGCCTTCTTGCCACATTTATTTTCAAGTGTCAGATCATAAGTACCAGAATCTTCTCTTTCTGCATCTTTTATCACCAATTCAGTATCTGTTTCAGAAGTGGCAATCATGGCTCTCTTGAGGACATCATGTCCTTCCTTAGTCCATTTGCAAATTGGAATAGGTTTACCTTTAATTGGCACTGTGAGCTTAATTACTCCACCTTGCCTTACAAATATACCTTCCAGGTATTTTTCATCAAGTATATAATCAGGATATTCTGGGAGAAGGAAAAATATCTCATGTTAGGTACAAAAAGGGGAAATAGGATTGTTATTTTTTAAAGATTGGGTTTCATTAAGAAAAAAGCTGAATTTTCTTACCAAGCATTTCTGTTACTTTGGCTGTTCCCGGCACCTCAGCAGGCTCCCCAGGACCTCCAGCATTACAGGCTATAACACGGAATCTATACTCCGCGCCTTGTGGAAGATGTGTTAGAGTGTATTCACGAATTTTGGTGGGTGTGGTATTGCATTTAGTCCATTCAAACTGGTCAACCTTTTGCATTTCAATTAAATAGCCAGTGACTTTAGATCCACCTTCATCTTCAGGTGGACTCCAAGCTAGGGAAATCGACGTTCTTGTAGTATCTGTAACTCTTGGATTCTGAGGTTTGCCTGGAGGAGCTGGAATATAGAAGGAGAACAGACTCAGCTATATTCAAGAGAACTTGCTTTTTTAAAAGGCAGTCCAACATATTGGTATCTACTGTTTCTTAAATATCTCCTAGTAAATATAGTAAACTATTTACCAATTGGATCCATAGCAATTGCAGGCTTTGATGCTCGGCTTGGTTTGCCGGTGCCCCTAGCATTGATAGCTGTGATGCGGTGTTCATACTCTAGGCCTTCAATTAACCCTGTAGATCGATAGCGTGTCATAGTCACTGCAATTTTGTTTACACGGACCCATCTGTCTGATCTAACTTCCTTGCGTTCCACAATATAACCAGTGATCTGTGAACCACCATCCTCTTCTGGTGGATACCAAGTAAGTGTCATTCCATCACGGCAGATATCAAATACTTCTGGAGTACCAGGAGGACCTGGAATGCCTAAATGAATAAAGTAGGAAAAAATTAGAAGGTGATTCCATTTACAATCATATTATGTTCCCTCTAATTGTTCTGTACATTTTTTACCAAATACTCTGTGACTAGTTCAGAATGACTACTTATTTAAACAAAAGAAGAATAGAATGTATGTAATGTTGGGTCTAAAAATATTTCTTTATATGTCTTTTTATTTTTTACTGCAGAGGGATAAGCAAAATATTAACTTACTGATTCTGCTCTTGCATTCTATAATCTCAGATTGCAAGTATGATCCAATTCCAAAGCGGTTCGTAGCAGCCACACGGAATACATATTCAGCACCCTCAGTAAGTTTAGAAAATTTAAATATTGTCCGAGTTACAGATTCAGATACCGGTAACCATCCTGGACGGTGAGCATCACGTTGCTCTACCACGTATCCACTCAATGCTGCACCACCATCCATCTCAGGTGGTTCCCAGGAAATAGTTACAAAAGTTGAATCAATGTCAACTACTTTAATAGGTCCAGTAGGTGGTCCAGGTTTATCTGTGAAAAAGAAAAATCAAGCATAAAGAATTCCTAAAATAAAGAAATAGTGTGGTTCACCAAGGGGGAAAATGATCAAAACAAAATAAAAGACCAGTATGTATTTAAGACAAACCAAAAATCTTACCAAGAATAACAACTTTGATTGTATCAAGAGTAGTTCCACTTGTATTCTTCAGTTCAAGTGTATATGCCCCACTATCATGTATTGTTGTTTCACGTATAGTTAATTTAGTTAGTTTAGCAACTGTTTCAACCTTGACACGTTCTGATTCTTTTAGTTTGGAGCCAGCAAAGAACCAAGAAACAGCTGGAGGTGGTCGTCCAGAAATTGGAATTGCTAATTCTACAGGTCTTCCAGCTGGTACATGAATGGTCTTTTGAGGAATTCCAGCAAGATCAATGGTGGGTAGAACTAAAAAACAGAGTTTTAAAAATTGGTATGGTTAATCAAGTTGTACTACGTATCATTGCTATGAACAATGTTTCACTTTTCACCATGGGTCTTACCTTTTTGATCTTGCACTGTCACTGCTGTAACTATTTCTCTTGGTTCTGAGACACCTTTCTGATTTTGTGCTCTGACTCTAAACAAGTACTGTTCTCCTTCATTTAATGAAATGATTGTATGCTCAAAGACTGTAGGTTTCAGGGTTACGACTTTCATCCACCTTTCTGTTCCAACTTTACTGGCCTCAATTACATAGCCAGTTAATCTGCTGCCACCATCATGCTGTGGTTTTTCCCATGCAAGCGATACAGTAGTTTTAGTAATGTCAACCACCTCCAGTTTCTGTGGCACACTCGGGACTTCAGATATAAGCACCGTATCAGCTGTCTCACAAGGTTCACCGATTCCGTAGATATTTTCTGGCAGAACTCGGAAATAGTAGAGAGCGCCTTCCATAAGTCCAGAAATTCTATAAATGGTTTTGTTGCACTTAGTAGTTACTGTTTTGTAAGCTCTCATGGCAGCCTCACGTTTCTCAATTATATAGTTGTTGACTGGTGCTCCACCATCAATGACAGGAACATCCCAAGTAAGAGTTACAGATTCTTTTGTGACTTCTTTTACTCTCACAGCTCCTGGAGGGCCAGGAGTATCTATGGGGGAGTGAAAGAAAATAAATGTTTTTATTTATTTACTTATTGCATTGTTTTGTGCAAAACATTTTTTTTTCTTATCAACCAAACGATATTCATAGACTACCACTGGCGTAATATTGCTTATAACTTTTTCTTTTTTCTGCCATTTGCCTGGTTCCCTGTTACTTGAATGTTGTACACTTTCAAATGTGTTTTAATTTGTAATGAAATAAACCAAGTGACTATAAAAAGAAATAAAAGATTTCAACTTACCATAGACTTTTACAAGAACTGTTGCTGATTTCTTTCCTGACTGATTTTCAGCCTCAATGACATATTTTCCAGCATCATACCGGTTAACTTTATCCACGACCAATAGCGTGTAGCTGTCCGTGGTGTCAATGATACCCCGGTTTGCTAGGTCAACACCTGCTTTACTCCACATAATTCTTGGCGCTGGTCTGCCAGACACTGAGACCATTAGACGTAAAGAGCCACCAGCTCTGACAGTAACAGTCTTCTTTAGGTCATCAGCAAGCTCAAGATCAGGTATTTCTATGATCAGGCATCAAAGGGAGGAGAAACAAAAGATGAGCTTGTGTTTGAATATTTCTAAACAATTGTGCAAACAGAAATCTATGAATGCTTTATAAATGTGGAATCTTGAAGTTACCTATCCTTTCCACAGGTTCTATTTCGGCTGGCGACTCGCTGTATTCACTCATGCCATTTATGTTGGTGGCAGCCACTCTAAAGCGGTATTTCTGGCTTGTTCTAAGACCAGTCACAGTGAATTCAGGATTCCTGATGGTGGCTGTGGTATGGACCCTGAACCATTGTTCAGTGCCTTCTTCTTTCATTTCAAGAATGTAGCCCAAAATATCCACTCCACCATCATACATGGGCTTTGTCCAAGCTAAGCTTATGCTGGTCTTAGTAGTATCTACAACTCTTGGAGGTGAAGGAGGTGCAGGAGTGTCTTTGAAAAAGAACAAAT